CGGCAGGAAGGAAGTGCTATGGGTTGGCCTGGTAAATGGTTTCCTCGGGCTGAGGCGAACTCACGTGTCTGATTGACATGGACGTGTACAGATTGAGGGGGAACAGCACATTTCTAGGATTGGGGGCTCAGAAGCGCCTGTCAGTCGCCTCGTCACAGCGCAGTGTGGCTGGTGCTGGCCAGGGCAGGCTGGTTACAAACACTGTTTCCTCCACCAGGACGGGAGGCCCAGCAGCAGCTGCTCGGAGCCAGGGAGCTTCTCACTGCCTTCCTGTGTGACGTGTAAAACCCGTCCTTCTGTGGTCTGAGCAGTAGAGTCAGACGGGGAGCCAGAACGGGCGTCCTCCCCGCCAGCACACCACACAGACATGAGGGGCCCCCAGAGGCCAGCGCCTGAGGGTCGCTTTGCATTACTCGTTTCCAGCGGGGTCTGGCTGGAAGCTCTCGGCAGCGGGTCTGCACCTGCCCCGGCTCTAGCCGCTGCCCCTGGGCCCTGCCTCCCGCCCGTCCCTCTGCCCTTGGTGATTGCCCCCCCCCCCCCCCGCTCCCCACTCCTCACTGCTCCTGGCACGCGGGGAGCGCCCGCTCCCTGCCAGGCCCCGTGCTCTGTGCAGATAAAGAGAACAGCTCATGCTTTAGAGGGCTTCCAATCGGGCAGGCAGAGCCTCCTGTCGGAAATCAGTGCGAGCCGGGGCTTTTATGCGCTGGGAGCGCCGGGGCTCAGGGGAAGATGTTCTTGGCACCGAGTGCTCGATGGTGCGGCTCAGCCAGGATGCCTTCTGCAGGGTCCGCTTCCTGGAAGCAGCGGCCAGAGTCGATAAAGCAGCTTGGGCCTGTGGTGGTGCAGGCCGCCGGGAGCCGTGGCCAGGTGGTCCAGGCCTGGGGCCGCCGGGCTGCGGGGCTGGCGGCTGGCATCCAGCCCGCTCTGCCCGCGGAGCGGGGCGCCCAGGCGGGCGAGGGCCCGCGTTTGCCTGGAGCAAGAGACACAGTTTGCTAATTCAGACGGAGGCGTCGTCTGGGCTGGCTCTGGTCTGCCACCACTTTATGGCTGTAGAGCTTTTTCACACGGGTGCTCTCAGCAACCACAGGCAGCAGGGCAAGGGATGGCACACTCTGGCCCACAGGAGGGCAGTGACTTGCTGAGGGTGCGGGGCAGGGATGGGGCAGAGCCAGGAGGCCTGCGCCCCCTTTGTCTCCCCTGTGGACTGGAGCCGAGTTCTGACGCTGTTCCCCTGCCGTACGAACCACGGCAGCTAATGAATTGCTAATAGAATTTTCTAGATAATTTTATTTTCCTAGTCCCACGTTTCAGTGTGTTTCCAAAAGCCAGCATTTATTTGCTTAATCTCCCAGGGTAATAGAATCTGCCCTGACTCGTCGTACATGCGGGCAATCGGCTAGGCAGAAACGATAGCAAATTGGTTAATAACTCGGATCTGGCCTCGATTTTTAACTTGCTGCCCTGACAGCTTTCCTGGGGTCTCCTCCACCTCGCCCCTGCCCTTTTCTTTTTTTTCTTTTAAAAATATTTTTTCATTTTTTCAGCTGTTGGTGTCCAGGCATAAGACTGGAGAGAGCAGGTGCGGGGACTGAGAGCCCCCCAGTCTGCCTCTGGGCCGAGAGCAGTGTGCCAGTGGCCAGAGGGAGCCCCGTGCTTTGCTGGTCGTCCCAGGACGGGTGGGGGGAGAGGGGTCTAGGAGGGACTCCGCTGCGTTGTTTTCTCCCCGGTGGCAGCTGTCTAATGTTAGACCTGTGACCACAGTGCTTCCTGACGTGAGCCCGGGCCCCAGGCCCTGCCATGCCACCTCCTGGGTGTCATTCTTCCACTCCCATCCTGGCAGCCCTGCCCTGGTCTGGATCCCACCCTCCTCTAGTGGGGCACCAAAGCCATCAGCTCTCTCCCTGCCTCCTGCCTCTGCTGTTGGTCCCCAGGCTGCCCGGGGTAATTGCCCTCACATACTAGAAGGATCATGCCAGCACACACCACACACACACACACACACCCCACCTTCGCCACCCTGCGTCGCCTCAGAATGACGTCTCATCAGTCCCACTCCCATTAAGGCCCCGGGCCCCCCGGGACCTTCCCTGCCGTTCCCTCTCCCGGGCCTGTCCTCTGTCCCCGCCTGCCCTGAAAGGTGCTTGTGGTGTTTCCTTAGCCTGAGCCCAGTGTCCCACCTCCGGTCCTCGCTTCTCAGGACTCCTCATTGTTCAAAGCCACTGAGAACGTCTCCCAGGTCGTCTCAGAGCCTCCTGAAGCCGCCTGCCTTGTCCTCAGGGTGCTTGTTGGCTGGGTCCCCCAATAGCCTGGAGCCTTGTTCTCTAGTTGGTCTCAGCATCTCTCTGGTCACAGTGTCTATGCCGGGGAGGATCCTCTGTCAGCTTTATGGGCCCCAGGTGGGTTCAGACCTCCCCAGAAGGAGGATGGCAGCGTGGGGCAGCTTCCCGGACTGTTATAAGGCCCAAGGGGCACAGTACTGCCTGCCAGGCGGTGCCCACCCTCAGAGCTCCTCTGGGCCTGGCTTTAGGCTCCAGGTGACTGTCCCGCTGGGAATGTCCTCGTGTTCCCCCTGACCCAGGCTCCCCCACCCTGGCGATTCCAGGGGCTGCCTGAGGAAAAACCTGGGCCTGGCTCATCCGCAGGCCGGCTCCATCCTAACTGGCTTGACACAGTTGTTTGACATTTGGCTTACGCGGGTTCTCTGTGGGGTGACATTGGGGCAGAGGGGCTGCTGGTGTTGGGGCCTCGGGGTGAAGCAGCCAGGGCTGCTGTGTCACAGGACACGGGGATGGACTCCACTCCTGGGTGCACTGGCCAGGATGGACTGGACCCCGGGGACTGGGCGCTGGTCCGCTTCTGCATGGACAGCCACTCCCCTGGTGCTCCCCCTCCATCGGAACCCAGTGCCCCTGCCACTCGGATCCAGCTCCTGCCGGAGTCTAGAAGCTTTCAGAGAGCCATGTCCGTGACTCGGTCCCAGCCGCCCCTCCCGCCCAGGACCTGAGCATTGCTGGGCGGGCGCTGGGCGCACGGAGCTCCTGGGCCTGCGGCTGGCGCTGCTGCTGCTGCCGCTTTGTCTTCCTGGAGAAGCCCGGGCAGACAGGTGGCAACCCCAGAGGTGGACGTGGGCCCAGCCCTGTGGTTCCTGACACCAGACAGACCTCGGCATTTTTAAACCTCAGCTCTGCTCTTGCTCACTGTGTGGCTCACTGTATTTCATCTCTGCTTTCCCATTTGTAAAGGGATGTGAGTGCCTGCGTGGAGAGCAGCGCGTGTTAATGAGACGGCAGACAAAGCGCCTTGCACAGGCCCAACCCTGCTCACTGAGACCGGGAGCCCGTCCCTGCCCTTGCCTGTGCTGTGTCCCTCTCAGCCTGGCCTGGTCCTGGGTGCAGGGCGCAGGAGCTGAGCATGGCTGCAGGTGCCTTGTCTCTGCGTGTCTACACCGGTGGCTGTGAGGGGTGGAGGCCTGTGGGGAGTGAGAGGTCTTGCCTTCTCACGAATCCATCCGCATAGCAGCTACCAATGGGACTGAGGCAGGAGGACACACCTCTTGCGTGCTGCCCCCATTGGTGGGCCAGACAGGCAGCCGGGCTCCTTACGCGACCCTTCCTCACCCCACTTTCCACCCGGAGCCCCGACGCCACACCGAGCAGGCCACGGTCCCTGGCAGCCAACGCTCTGCCCCTTCCTCCCCTGGGGCTCGGTGGCAGATGCCAGGCCTGCCCACCTTTCCCGCTCCGGCCCTCACACGGGGTGAGCCAGGGTGAGCAGAGGGGCTTGCTGGGGGAGCTCGTGTGCTTATGGAAACAGAATCCAAAATGGTGGCCACTGAGCCACCAGTTAGGACCCAGACGGGGGTTGTAGCTTCCTCAGGGGCTGCTTCCCCGAGAGGCCGTGGCTCAGAGCAGCCCCGTGCAGGGACTCAAACACACAGGAAGTGGCGGCCAGTCTTGGGGGTCACTGTGGGCGCCCACCTCGCTGTGCCCCGGGTTGGCACAGGATGGCTGGACTGAGTTAAATGAACATCTCATGTTCCTCGTTAGCTTAAACCCTTTGAAAACTGCTCTTTGGTCTTGGGATGAAACCTAAAGCTCTTAATACCATTTTCAAGACCCCACGAGGCCTGGCCCTGCCGGCTGCTCTGGCTCCCTCCCCTCTGCCTGTCTCCCAGCTGCCCCGTTCTTCTGCCTGGCCCTCCAGCCTGCGTGCTTCTCTCTGGCCCGGAGTGTTCGCAGCGACTGTCCCGGCCTCCGGGAATGGTCTCCGCCCTCCCCGCGTGCCGGGTGGCATCTGTGATGAGAGCTGGGCTTGTATCCTTCTCCACGGTGACAGCCCCAGGGCCAAAAAGAGGGTCCTGACGGCACTGAAACAGCCTTTGTTGAGCGAATGGACCCTTAAGACACGTGCTTTAGTGACTGCAGCGGCAGGGTCTGCAGAAGCAGCATCGGAAAGGGAAACCCCCCCCCTCCGGGCGCCGGGTGCACCGGCTCTGCTGCTCAGGAACGCCGTGGAGCCTGGGACAAGCGCTTCGCTCTGGCTTTCCTTATCTGAGGGTGAGGATGGAGCATCACGGTTCGGTGATGTGATTTTGCAATAGTTACAGCGGAACAATGGCTGGCAGATGTTACCTCCGCTATTGTCATCCTCACAGCGGCCACCTGACATCCCACCTCCTGCCCAGACTCCGCAGAGCCCTCTGGTAGACGTGGTTTTGGTGCCGTGCCTTTGACGGCACCCCGTACAACTGCCGACTCCCGATGGCTACCGTGGCGTGTGTTATCAGTGCTTCTCTTTCCCCACCAGACTTTGGGTTTTGGTCCCACTGGATCGCATGCCGGGTGCTCTGTGATCATTGCTTGTCCTGGGCTGCCTCCGGGTTCGCCCCTGAGTGTGGGGGCGTGAGGGCACCGGTCCTGCTGTGGGCCTGGCGCTAGCCCGGTGGGTAAAGAATGGCCTTGCAGTCCAGCTCCCTGAGGCTCTCCGCTCTGTCTCCACAGGCACGGACATGGCCGTCTTCTGTCTGCTGTGCGGGAAGCGTTTCCAGGCGCAGAGCGCCCTCCAGCAGCACATGGAGGTCCATGCGGGCGTGCGCAGCTACATCTGCAGCGAGTGCAACCGCACCTTCCCCAGCCACACCGCCCTCAAGCGCCACCTGCGCTCGCACACAGGTAGGCGGGCCGCGGCGGGTGGGCGGGGTCTCCGGGGACCGGTGTCTGGGTTTACCGCCAAACTCATGAAGTGGGGGTGCTGGGCAGAATTAGCCCTCGGCTCTTGGCTCAAGGATTGGGCGGTGCAGGTAAATGGTGGTGATTCTCCCATCCACCTTGGGGAACTGGGGTTCTCCGTCTCTCTTTGCTCAATGGGGGGTGCTCCTTAGAGACACAGTCTTGGGCCCCCCTCTCAGAAACTTTGATTTGTTGTGTACGGGCTGTGATGCAAGACTTCAATGTTAATAAATATTCCTAAGGGATTCAGAGGCAGGTTGACCCAAAACAAATTTGGGGAAAACCTACAGCTTGGTCTCTGGTTCTCTCTGCCACACACCCCTTCACATAGTTTTTGTGCCCTGTCCAACAGACAGGAGCATATACCCTGTCACAAACCAGATAGAGAGTCCGCCTGCCTCTCTCCCGGGCCCCCACCCCATGGACACATGTTCCCCAAGTCAGCCTGGGCCTCCAAGGGGATGAGCAGAAGTGGTCCCAATTGTTCCACGGTCACAGAAGCCATTTCCATCCGGGGCCTTCACCTTGCTTGGGGGAGTAAACGATGAGCCGTGACTTGTCTCCGCTTAGCCGGTTCCAGACGCCGGGGAAGAGAGGGGCTGTGCACAGCGAGGCCAGACCCAGTGCCACCACGCTGTAGGTTTGGGGGTGGCACGCTTGGTCAAGAGGTCTGCTTCCTTGCAACAGGCCCGGATCCCATCGTAAGGGGAGGGATGACTTAAATCCTTTCCTTTCTCTAAGACAAAATCGGGTCCCTGCTGACTGTCCTGGATAAAGGACTGCTCACGCCTCTATCTGGTTTGTGACAGGGTGTACGCCCCGCCTATTGGACAGGGCACAAAAACTGTGCACAGACAGGTGGTTGGGCACTTTCTCTCCTCACCCCCGAGTCTTGTCACAGCTCCGGGACTTCGTGGACAGCCCAGGCCTTCCACCCGTGACAGGCTCAGCGGAGCAAGGGAGGGGCTTTCTTCACCATGGACTGAGTGGCCTGTCCTGCCCGCTGTGGGCATCACCAAAGAGCCTGCCTGGGCTCTCGCTTCCGGATGCCACTCTGTTCAGGGGAGCACATGGTCCGAGCATCACCACATTTGCCCAGAATTCTTTTTTTTTTAAATATATTTTATTGATTTTGTGCAGAGAGGAAGAGAGAGAGATAGAGAGTTAGAAACATCGATGAGAGAGTCATCGATCAGCTGCCTCTTGCACACCCCCTATTGGGGATATGCCCGCAACCAAGGTACATGCCCTTGACCGGAATCGAACCCAGGTCCCTTTAGTCCCCAAGCCGACGCTCTATCCATTGAGCCAAACCGGTTCCGGCTGCCCAGAATTCTTTAGAATTGCTGGCACAGGACAAGGGAGGTCCCAGACAGCGGGGTTCAGGCGGAAGGAATGCCCGCAGGACTGTCTCTGCAATGCCTCGTAAGCATCCCTGGCAGGTCCATGCACCTTCCCGTCAACACCACCCCCGCTGCGGTCCCACGTTCAGCTCCTCCAGGAAGGCCAGTCCCCGTCAGCCCCGAGCCTCCTGGGGCTGAGTGATCCAGCCCCACGAAGTCTGCCCAGGTTCCGCCCTGCTCGGCACGGGCCCCTTCAGAGAGCACAGCTGTCAGCGGTCCCAGGCTTCTGTGTCTTCGGGGGCTCAGACCTGAGGGGAGGAGGCCTCGTGTGGGGGATGCACTTGCTTAATCTCGGAAGCGTGGCACACGAGCCTCGTCTGTGCACACGCATAGGCTCAGCGATGGCCACCGGCGGGGCCGGTACACACAGCCACACGCAGGCGGAGCGCGCCCCACACAATGCCTCATTAATATTCCGTTGTTCTTGGCCCATTTGCTGCCGGGGCCTGGTGTTTAGCATCCGCAGCTGTGTTTGGTAAGTTAGTCCAGCCGCGCTCCTGGCATTGATGGATCCCTGATTCACGCAGCTCGTCATATAATAAGCTCTCAGCTGTGCTGCGTGGAGGGGCCGAGGAGCCGGTGGGGTGGGGAGGGGCTGGGATGGGGAGGATGCCGCCGGGCCTGCCAGAGCGGGGTACACCGCAGGTGAGGACAGGCCGCGGGGGTGACAGGTGCACTGGGCAGGCCGGAGGGGCCCTCATGAGTCTCCTTTGTCCTGTACTTAATGCCAAGCTCATTAAAGAGGCTGCCGAGTTAATCAGCATATACCACAAATTGGATTTGGAGTTGTGCGGCCAGTTTTGTGTACATTACGGCAACACAGACACTATTAACTCTCAGGGTAAGGACTTTGGACCAGGTCCTTTCCGTGTTTCCAAAGGGGGGGGGGGGGTGTGAGTGAGTGAGTTTATGTGTGTGTGTGTGTGTGTGTCTGCTAAGTTTTTCTTATTCCTTTCCCTGGCTGCCTCTGGAGATTTCCTATTTAAGCTTATTTAACGTGTGACCCACTTCATAATTAAATTCATAAAAATCTGATCAAACAGGCCTCGCTGTCTCCGCCCCGTGTTTTTCAAACGCGGAGGGCCCCCCCCCTGCAGGGGAGGGCGCAGGCGCCGGCTTCCCAGCCGGGTGGCGGTGGCGTACGTTTTAATTACCGGCTCCGGCTGAAGTCTCCCGTGGCCCTGGCTTTTATTTATTTATTTATATCTTGATGAGGATTCTGAATCCTTGATTAAAGCTGTAATCATTGCGGGTTCGGTAAGGAGGGGCAGCTGGATGTCAGGAGGGCCGTGTGTGCAGCGCCTGCACAGCAAGTGGCACGTGGGCACGGGCACTGGGTGACCTCACGCAGCTTAGGAGGCCCAGGGTCTGGGTGGGCGTGCCCTCCCCTGGGGTCAGATGGGGCTGGCGGCTGGCAGGGAGCAGGTGCTGAGAACTGCGCAGGTCTGCATGGGAGGGCCTCCTGGACCGGCCGTCGGGCGTGCCCCATGGGCTGGCTGTGCTCCCTGAGCTTTTCCAATCCGACTCCTCGGTGGAGTTGCTCCCCCCACCCACCCTCTGTGCCCTGGGGGCTTCTTGCAAATCTTTCGCCCATGAGAGATCCCGCCAGTGGGCAGACCCCGGCATCCACTCCCCAAAGAGCCTTAAAAAACCCTCCAGAGCCATCAGAAGCGACGAGAATTTATGTGGGTACAGGGCTCTGCATTCAAGAGGGGGGAGAGCTTGGGGTAGCGGCCTGAGGAGGGGAGAGAGAGAAGAGAGTAAAATATAATTTTAAAGAGGAAGTGAAGGCCCAGGCATGCGAGTCTATAACGAGAGGGACAATTTATGCTCAGGCACGCACGCAGTTTGACATGGGGATAATGAAAAAACGTAGGTCATTGTGGATGACTTAAACCTTCAGCAGCCGGAGAAAATGTATGAAATGCAGAGGACATTACACGGTTGGCAGCCCGGCGCATCTGCAGGGGGACGGGTGAAATACAGTGGGCCATTCTTTACCATAAACTGTGGTTGTGGGAGACGCGGCCCAGAGAAATTGTAATTACAGTGACAAGACGAATCAGCGATATTTAAATATTCATGAACAAAGTCTGGGGTGATCAATCTATCTTTATTGTCTGTGCCTTCGCTCCCGTAATAAATAAGTAGCTCAAGTCTTCACCTTGCAGCCCTGGAGCCCCCTCGTTAGGTACAAACCGCAAAGTCGTTAACCCCTACACCCCCTCCCCGACCTCTCACCTTCCAGGGATGCACAGGAAGGGAGCTGGTGGGCGTGGGCTCCGGGCGAGGAGAAGCCTTTCTCCCTCGGTTCCTGCGCCCAGCATTTCCGAGGGCCCACTCTGGGGCGTCCTGAGGCTCCGGGGTGAATGGAGCTCCCCTTGGCCTCCACACGCTTCCACTTAGAAGCCTGATGGACGTGACGGGGAGTCAGTGCAGCCTGCCAGTGAGCAATCTGAAATGGTCCCACGTCCAGCCTAAAGCAGACCAGAATCCGACCCCTGACTCAGCTACTGAATGGCCTGTGACCTTGAGGACCATCTCTGAGCATCTCCGTTTTCTCATCTGTAAAAAGAGGATAAGAGTAATAGCTTTCTTATAATGTTCTTGCAGTGATTACGTGATATGAGCCGTGTGAAGTTTTTCATATAGCAGTGAGCACTCAAAAATGTGGGCCAGCCGAAACCGGTTCGGCTCAGTGGATAGAGCGTCGGCCTGTGGACTGAAAGGTCCCGGGTTCGGTTCTGGTTAGGGGCATGTACCTTGGTTGCAGGCACATCCCCAGTAGGAGGTGTGCAAGAGGCAGCTGATCGATGATTCTCTCTCATCGATGTTTTTAACTCTCTATCCTTCTCTCTTCCACTCTGTAAAAAAATCAATAAAATATTATTTTATTTTAAAAAAGAAATCTGGGCCATTTTAATCAGGAAGAGCCATAAAAATTATACCGCTGCTGCTAAAAGAACAAAATGCTGGACTTTTTTTTTTCTCTTTGGGGACAGGGAAGGAAGTGGAGCCTCTTTTTGCCGGGGGACGGGGGGACTGAAGAGAAGCTTCCAAACAGGTGGTTTTTGAAGGGTGACTGGAAGTTGGCTGGGGAGAGAAGAGAAAACCAAGCGGAGAGAAGGTTGTATAAAACTGTGGAGGAAGGAAGGGGCAGAAGGTATTTTGGAAGAATGTTCTCATGATTCCCAATTGGAGAGATTTCTGAAGGGCAGGTCCTAGGGCTGGAGTGGCTTTTGCCCCTGACCTTGAGGAAGGCCAGGTCTCAGAGCCCCCACGCCTGCTCTAGCCTCGCCGGGGACGGCTGTTTCTCTCAAGCAAATGGGCTCTCTTTCCCCAGGACTGGCCCGTGGCCCGGGGTGACCATTGGGCCACAGTAAGGTACAGAAGTGTGAGCAAGGCTCCCTGTCGATGCCCTGGGGGCCGGCAGAGGGTGGGGTCTGGCCTTCAGTGGCGTTTGCAGGTGGTGGATGCGGGCACCCGTCCTCCTGCTGTGCCCTGGAGCGGGGCTGGGAAAGGCGAAGCCCTGAACCAGCCCTTGTCCCCACAGGCGACCACCCGTACGAGTGTGAGTTCTGTGGCAGCTGCTTCCGGGACGAGAGCACACTCAAAAGCCACAAGCGCATCCACACGGGCGAGAAGCCCTACGAGTGCAATGGCTGCGGCAAGAAGTTCAGCCTCAAGCACCAGCTGGAGACGCACTACAGGGTGCACACAGGTACGCGGGCCAGCGCGGCCGGAGCGGCTCCAGGACCTGCGCAGGGTGGCAGGTGGGGGGCTCCCACTGTGTGTTGACCAGCGTGCCACGGCCCCTTGCAAGAAGGCGGCAGCCATATCGGCCACAGCCCTTCCCAGGAGCCCAGACCGGCCCTCCCGCAACCCTAGCCAGTGGCTTCCAGATCACACAGGATGACGTCTGCCTGTGAATCCCGAAGTACGTTTCCCCACGTAGCTGAAAGTGAAGGTTAGGGTAGTTTTTTACTTGACGGGAGGAATGAGAGGGTCTTGAGTTAGGTTATGAGGCGGGATGAGAAGTCCTAAGTTAGAGTTAGGTTCTGAGATTGGAGGAGCAGATATACGTAAAAAAACCCAAGTGTGGAATGTTTCGCCATTTCAGAGGGACTTCACGAAGGGACTTCATGTTCCTTTTTACACAATAGAAACATGAGCCACACGTTTCCCTGGGGTCCGTCTGTGGACCAGCAGGAGCATCCCAGTGTCCAGGCCTGCCAGCTGGGACAGTGGGTGCTGAGTGCTGGTGGAAGCCTGTTCTGCACATCTCTTCCCAAATGCAAATCCAGTGGTTGCTTAGCCTTGGCCATGGAGGGCGTAGTCACAGCGTGGCCATGGCAAGCGCTGCACATCCAGGCCTGCAGGGAACCTCTTGCTGCAGATTCCACCACCAGCCCACCCCTGGTTGGGGGCGGGTAGCTCCTCAGAAGGACATCCTCTGAGAATAAGGTGCAGTGGGCAGTAGTCTCGCCACCTGGGAAGACTCCTGTGATGGGGGGAGGTGGCAGCCCTTCTCAGAGGAGGGCAGAGGGGCACAGGAAGCACAGGACACGTGTCGCCATCGCTCTGCTTTCTCGCATTGGCCACAGGCGAGGATGGGGTGCTCGTGGCTGGCCACTAGAGTGACGGAGAGATTCCCCAGGGGCCTGGGCCTCCTTAGCCCTCGTCGGGGATGTGGCCTGGCAGGCGGATCATTAAATGCATTGGCAGTGACTATTGTAAATAGCAGGTCGATAGTTAGATCACTTCGGCTGTTCATTACTTCATTATCTGCAGGGCCCTCTGCATGGAGGAGTATCGATAGGGAGATGGCTGGCCAGTTAATTACTGTATCGGAACAAGGTTCCCTCACTCCTCGGCTCAGCGCCAGGGGACTCCAGCAGGAGGCCCCAGCCGTCCTGTCCCCCATGCCAGCCCCAGAGGGAAGGCGAGGTTTGGTGCGGGTTCTAGGAGCCTGTGAGGATATGCAAGCCCAGATGCCTATGTTGGAAGGACGAGGTCCCTCATCTCCCTGCACCCCTTCTCCCCACCATCCGTAGCCCCGCTCCCCTGGAAGGAACTGCTGGAGGGCCATCCCCAAGAACGTTCTGGGCATCCCTGGCCCCTTCCCAGACCCCATGTCCCTCCTGTGGGAGAGGGAGGAAGAGGAAGGCCAGGGAGGGGCGGGGGCTGTGTGCATGCCTCCCCACTGGCTGTATGTGGCTGTTCCGTTAGTGACAGGAAATGCCATGAGGACTAGGCCACAGTCGCACTGGCATGTTCCAGGCACTCAGCTGCCATGTGTGACGAGGGCTATCCTGCCAGGAGCACCTGCACCCACCGTGCTGGGACGCGGGACCAGGGTGGGCGAGGGCCCCACGCGCCCAGGGGAGGCGCTCACCGCTCTCCCTCCGCCCTCCTTCCGCAGGGGAGAAGCCCTTCGAGTGCAAGCTGTGCCACCAGCGCTCCCGGGACTACTCGGCCATGATCAAGCACCTGCGGACGCACAACGGCGCCTCCCCCTACCAGTGCACCATCTGCACCGAGTACTGCCCCAGCCTGTCCTCCATGCAGAAGCACATGAAGGGCCACAAGCCTGAGGAGATCCCGCCCGACTGGAGGATAGAGAAGACCTACCTGTACCTGTGCTACGTGTGAAGCGGGCGGGCGGGCGGGCGGCGGAGGCGTTAGCGCAGGTGGAGTCGGGGAAGAACACGTGTCTATAGAGAAGGGAAAAGGAGGGAAAAGGAAACCTGATCGTTCTCTCTGGCCTCGGAGTCTCTCGGGGGCTCCCGGGGACCAGGCTGCCCCCGCCATGGCCCCTGCCCGGGCCTCCGTCCCTCCTCTCCTGGCTGGAGGTGGGAGTGGAGGGGTTTTGTTCTGCTCACACCCTCTTGTATGTCCAGAAATGGAGTCTGAGAAGAAGGTGAGGAGTGTCTGGGTCAGAGCCAGTCTCCACCTGCCATCCTCAGCCTTCTCAGAAGATGGAGGCTCTAGGGGGAGGGGGAAGGGGGCAGCGGGCTGCAGATAGGGGGGCTGGACTGGGGCGCTGGCTGACACTCAGAGTGGCAGTTGGTTTGCTGGGGGCAGACGGGTGGGGAAGGGCACCTCTTCCCCTCCCTCACGCATTTCACCTGTCGCTTCCCTCTGCTCTGCTGATCTTCATGGCCCTCCTGGTCTTCAGGAGCCTCAAGGCTCTCGCCCCTCCCCCAGCTCCTGGTCCCTGCCTCCTCTCCTCCAGTTCAGGGAGTGCCCAGCCTCCCCCCACTCCCCACCCCCATCTCCTTCGTGGGGAATCTGTGTCCCACCCAGAGCCCCATTCCCTCCCACCTTAGCCTCTGAGAACAGAAGCAAATGGAAGACCCGCCCTCAGAAAGCCCTGTCCTGAGAGATTGGCCTCCCAGATGGAAAAACACCTAAATCCTTATGTATACATGGTTCCCCACACCTCCTCAGGCCCTGGGAGACGGGATGGGTGGGAGGGCTGCTGTCCCAGGGGAGGCCGTGGGTGCCTCCGGGTGTGCCCTCCCCCGGAGAAGGGGCACCTGCCGGCAGTCAGGGTGCTGGCCAAGGGGTGCTGGTGAGTCATCCTGGGGACCTTTCAGACACCCCAGACCTGGTGAGCGCAGTGGGAACCCCAGGTCCAGAGAGGGCACAGACTTCCTGGCTCACCCCCCACCCTCCCCGCCAGGCCACAGGAAGAGGAGGAGTTGTTGAAAGCGCTTTAGCCTTGTGTTACTTCTTTTGTGTGTCTGGGTTCCCCTGTTCGCACATTGGGCTTGAATTACCTCAGTTTTTTTGTGACCTCGTGAGCTTTTGTAACCCCTGCATCTCTCCTTTTGGTTGGGGGCTGGGAGAATGGGGAGGGAGTTCTTTTCTGTTTCTTGTGTACGTTAGTAGTTGGCTTAGTACCTGTCTGCTGGCCGTGGCCCCCAGCCCTCCCCGGGCAGCCGTCTTCCAGCTGGAAGGAGCTGCCGGAAGGATGGATTCCTCGGGACCTGGGTGTAGGGACTGGGTCCCCGGAAGGTGGGCAGAGGGCGAGGCGGGTATTGGGGGCCTTTGGAGTCACTGTTGGCTCTTGCCCACAGCATGAACGCATCGGTTCAGCCTAAAACACTCTGGACACAACCCCCCTTTCTGACAGTGTGCTGGGTCTGAGGGCATGTGTTATTCAGGTCCTTGCGTCTGCGCAACCCCGCCTCTGTGTGCGACCCCACCTCTGGTTGCGGCCGCCTCTGTGTGCGTTATCATTGCCAAAATCGGTCTGTTTCCTGGCTGCGAGGGATGCGCCCGTCGTGCTTCTGTGCGCGGGGTGGGTGTTGTTTTCTGAAAGCTACCTCTTCTGTTCGCCCTTCCTCTGTCCCCTCCTGCCCGTCTGCGGCCCTCGGCCCGCTACCCCCAGCCTCCGCCCACGCTTAGGAAAGCACATTTGCCCTGTTTGTGTTCACCGTGGGATGGGCCCTCTGTTTCATCTCATGCTTTTATTTGTCTGAGTTGTTTTCTTTCCTTTCTCTCTCTGAGAAAGTTGTGGCTGCGTGTCTTAGGTTTTAAAAAGTGGTGTAGGGAAGAAGCATTGTGGGGAGGAGCGTTGTGAGGCGCACAGGGAAGTCGGAGGGATGGGTGCTGCTGAGACCACCCCCGTCCCGTGGCCCCATCCCTCCAGGCTTGCCCACCCGATTTGAAGGCCTTAAAAACGGGGGCGGGTATAGGACTAGGGGCGGGGCATGTCGCTGGACTGTTGATTGGGAGTGATAAATGGGGAGGATGCTACTTTGCAATGATAATAATCAGTTAGTGCTTTGGGGAAGGAGAAAGCTAAACTTGAAATCCGTGACTGGAGCAGTCGTGGTTATAATGTGAAGAGGGAAATGGTTGGGGAGGAGCCGTCTGTAGGAATTCATTGTGCACTATGGCTTCCTCCCCGAGGCTGGGGGGAGAGGGGGGCAGTCTGGCCCCGGGACCTGTGAGTCCCCGGAGACAGTGTTTTCACAGCGAGATAGCACTGGACTTCGGTGGGGAAGGAGGAGAAATCAAACTGTTCCCTAGACCTGGCTGACACTGTCACCAGCCCCACCGCCTCCTCTCCTTCGCATCACAGCTGAGAGGGTGGAGCTGATCTTACAAATTGTAATATTTTTGTAATGTTCCTTAGTTCCTTTGTCAGTTCTGCAGGCCCTTGCCCTTTCCTTTTGTAATGTGCATAGGAAAAAAAAAAAAAAAAAAAAGACAAAAAAACACCACCACCACCACCAAAATGTCCCTTTGTGTGTGTGTGTGCGTGTGCGTAGCTGCTTGTGTGTGGTGTGAGGCGTCTGCTGGTGCAGCCCTAGGCGGTCCTGTGCCCCTCGGGCCCTGGGAACCCCAGAAGGGAGGCAGGGAGAGGGGCCTGGACTTCGGTTTCTGAAGGGCGCTGGGTGGGAGCCCTGGAGCCTGCTTTGTTCCCCCGCGGCCCCCACAAAGCCTCCGACACCCCGGTTAGAGGCCAGCGCGCCTCCTGTTTGGCTCCTGCTCACAAAGATGAGAATGCTGGCCTTGTTGAGGCCGCCGTGGCCCAGCCTAAGGGCAAGGAGAAGACCAGGAATCACCTGGAGGCTTTGCTGTGTTGGGTAGAGGGGGCTTGGAGACCAGGAGGGAGGAGGCTGTGCCCCCCGGGGGAGGTCTCAGTGGCTTGGCCCCCCTCTCCTCTCTGCCATCTGGCCCTGGACCACCTTTGGCCTGTGGCCGTGGCCGGCGGACACCCTGCTCGCCGCGGCCTGGTCCAGCGCCTCCCGCTCCCCGGTCTGCGGGGTCCCGGCCACAGTCCCCTCCTGGGGCTCGCTCCTGCAGGCGTGGCCCCCATGCTTCCAGCAGCAGTGCCCTCACGCCTGCTCCTTCCCCAGCCCCTCCTTCCCTCGCTCGAAGCATTGAGATCCTCCGTGTGTAGGCTAGACAGATATATATAGAGAGATATATAGCAAGAGAGATATAAATAGTGACTATCACTGCTGCTCTGGAGGAGGCCACGGAGGTGAGGAAGGTGGATCGGGGTGCGGGTGAGGAGGGAGGCTGGGGGGCCCAGTGACTCAGTACAATCCAGGGATGCAATGTGGGCTTGTTGAATATTTGTGCCTGAACAGTTCTCCGTGTTTAGAAAAAAAAGAAAAGGAAAAAACCCCGCTGCAGTTTTTGCAAGGCGCGTGGCCCCTTTTGGGGGGCTGCTGGTGCAGGACTGCGGGCGGAGGCCCGGGAGGGAGAGGACCTTTGGGCTCCCGCCTTCAGGGGCCTGAGTGGTGGGGGCAGGTCTGGGCCCGGTCCCCGCCAGCCCAGCGGGAGGGAGGGAGAGCAGGGGATGTGAGACAGAACAGAGAAAGAAGAAGCCGTCCGATCTGGCCTGTGGTACGTAGTTCTCCCTCCCATCCTGTTTCCTCCTTCGGGGGCTTCCTGGCAGCGCCTGCCTGGACATTCAGCGGGAGCTCCTTAGCCAGACTGAGGCTTCACGGACACGGATGGGGGCGGGAGGGGCGTGGGGAGGGCGGGAGGCAGAGCCAGCCAGGAGAGGGCCAGGAGGTAGGCTGGGGGGAGAGAGGGGTGCAGGCCTCCCCCCATCCCCCCGGCCTGTTAGCCAGCAGCCCTGCTCCCCGAAGCCCGGGTGCCCGCTTTGCAGACAGGGTACCTGCCCCCTGGCGTGTGTCCTCAAGCCCATTCCCGGAGCGTCATGCATGATCTGTGCGAGGAGGGGACGGCGCCGTGGTGGTGCACCGAGACACCCACCCCATCTATATAGAGATAAATATATATAAATATATACATATATGTGTGTGAAGTAAAGCACTGGGGGCCCCGGCCCTGCTGGACCAAGCAAAGCCCAGCCTTCGGCTTGGGTGTTCTGTTCTGTTTCGTCGTCTGTTTTTTTGTGGCTCGTCTTTTGTCGTGACAGCACAAGTGCCCGTCCGATCGCTCTGTGTTACAGATAGTGTTTTAATTATTGCTGTTCTAGTTCATGTCTACCTCAGCGCCTCCTCTTAGCCTAATTTTAGGAGGTTGCCCAATTTTGTTTCTTCAATTATACTGGTTACTTTTTTGTACAAATCTCTCTCTCTCTTTCTCCTTCTCTCTCCCTCCTGCTGCTCTGTCCCTCCCCACCTTCCCCTTTCATTTCTGTTGGTTTGTTTCACTCCCACCCGCCCCTCCCGCCCCTGCCCCCGCCCCAGCCCCAGCCCCAGCCTGGTGATCCAGGTTTGCTTGCCGGCCCCACCTGCCCAGCCCCGAAGCCGTCCCCTCCCCGTCGTGCGGTCCCGGGTGAGCTCTGCCCGCTGCCTTCGTTTCGTGTAGATGGATGCGTCTCTCTGTAATTCCAGTGTTCTGACAACATTTAAAGGAAAACATGAACTTACTGCTGCAGGTTTCTCTCTCCATGTGTCACTCAGTGAAGTTGTGCCTTCTATAGCAAAGAGAATATTTTTTACATCCTACTAACAGTAGATTTTTTTGTAGTGAACATTTTTTTGTATTTTTATTTATAAGTCTCATAAGGAAAATAGCAATGTTCAGTTGTATACCTTGAATCTGCAGTTAGAAGAGAATAAAGTTAATTCAGTTGTCTCTGGCACCGAGTGTCCCTGTGTGTGAGAACTGGTGTGTCTTCTCTGCCTTTCCTCAGGTGGGGGGCATGGAGGGAC